TTGGTGCTGTCATGGTGAGTTCCACGGAGAGTCTGTGCTTAGTACAGGGGAAGAGGGGTTGCTAGTTATACGAAACTTCCCGCGTTGTAGGCAGAGCTGTGATCCGGTGTACGGGGTCTGTGTGTGGGCGGCTGCCCGGTGTTGTGGGAGTAGTGTGCTGGGCGGGCTTGCGATGCATGTTGGGAGGTGTAGTCCCGGGACAGGTGCCGGCAGTGAGTGACAGCTCGCGGTGTAAGTGGATGAGGGGAAAGTACGCAGCGTGCCGGGAGAGACACAACTTTACTGCTCTGCCGGCCCAGCACACGCATAGAGAGCGCACACTGTTAACACGCACACACCCACTGCTCGCACACCCTGAGGGGAATTTATCCAAACTGGTGCAGATAGAATCTGGAGCCGTTGCCCATGACAACCAATCAGCTTCTCTCCAGTTTGTTCAGTGAAGATTTTAAAAATGAAAGAGAAAAGCTGATTGGTTGCCATGCACAGCTGCTCCAGTTTTGATAAATTTCCCTCACAGAGCACACACACACACAACTCCTACACTGCTCGCACACACTCAGAGCTCACACACTACTATTATACACATAGAACTCACACATTGGTCACACACACCGCTGGCACAAACTCAGAGCTCACCCACTGCTCGCACACTCAGAGCTTGTACACACAATGATTGCACACACTGCTGGAGCACACACATTCAGAATTCACACTTCTGGCACCCACGCAGAGCTCGCACACTCATGGCTCATACACACACAGAACTCGCACAATGATCGCTCACACACACTTAGAGCTCACACAGAGCACACACACACACAGCTTACATGCTGACTTTGACCCAGGTGGTGCTGACAGGGTCACCCACAGACCAAATGCCAAGTCAGAAGGAAACAGCCAACATAAGAGGAATTCTCCTCACTTCCTGCTGTGTCTCTGGGACATATTGCACTGGGACTTCCAAAAATGTTGTGTAAAATAGCTCTTCAAGCCCACACTGGTCCCTTTTATAGCAAAACAAGAACTTGGCGTGGGCTCAGAGCGTCCCTGTTGTTTCAGATTTGGTGCCGCTGAGAACACCAAAGAACAATGTTCCATTTGTGAAGTCCTGTCACTGCAGTGTGTTCTGTTACCCCCGGGGATGCCGGTGGGGTGGTGACTACGGCACACGGCGCTTTATTGAGGCTCTTTGGTGGGCACTCTGCTAGGCTTGCAACAACTCATCGATAATGACAATAGTAGGAAACAATTCTCATTATGGATTAGTTGGGGCGGGGGTTCAAATACAACCAACTCGATTAATTGAAAAACTAATTGGGCAACTAATCGATTTATGAAAATAATCCTTAGCTGCAGCCCTGCATTCTGCTGTTCAGTGTCTCTGGGATAGGAAGTGAAGGGAAGTTTCCACAATGGTACACAGAAAGCAGAAATAACCTGACAAGGGCTTAACCTTTTCTCTACACTATCCAGAGCACAATTAAATACCTGACAGGGGTTCTAACTCTTCTCCACTCTATCCAAAACTACAACAAAAGACGTGATGAGTAGATAAACATACATAGCTCCTCCTCCTTTTTTTAAAAGCTGATTTGTAAAGATTGCAATCCTTGTTTTGACCTATTGAACTGGAACTCTCCATTCCTCCAGCTGCTAATACCCCATATTCTGTGCAGTTGGTATTGCATGCTCTTTAGGGGTGAGTGAGAGAGACAAAATGTATCACTGAGCTTTGTAAATAAGATAAAGCTATGTTCACTTCAATCACCCAATCCAGTCCTAGCAGAAATCCTGTGTTTCCTTAAAGTGACATTAAACCCTCAGATTTTTTATCATAAAACAATACTGTAATGTGTGCCTTACTGTAATCAATGGTAGTTTCCCTTCTCTTTGCTGCTCTTCCTTTTAAATCTGTATCTGTTCTCATGCTGGGCAGAACTTCTGTTTTGCAGCAGACTGCCTTGTCTCAGGAATGGATACACGGTGTCTGTGTATAGGTTTGTATAGGCTTGAAACCTGAGCCAGCACTACAGGAAGAGGCCCTGAGCTGAAAAGGGAAGTTCTCCCCAAGCATGAGAAGACATGAGGATTTAAAAGGAAGAGCAGCAAAGAGAAGGATTAGACTAAGGTACACATTACCGTATTGGTTTATGTTAAAAAATCTGAGGGTTTAATGTCACTTTAAAGTTGAACTCCACATATAACCTTATTTTGTATACTTAGATTGATCCGGCTTGTCCCAATAGAATGAGGGATCTCTCATACCTGATCATCCGCTGGCAATCCTGTAAAGCAGTCTAGTAGGCGGAGCTATTACAGTGCTAGTTGCGATCTTCTGAGCCCTGCATGGTGCTAAGTGGCTTCTCTCTGCTCTGAAAACACAGGGAATCGTTCGCTCGGCACAGCAGCCATTCAAAGAATGCCTACAGGGTTATTCACAGAAGAGTGAAGAGTTTGTAGAAGGCAGGAGAAGTGAACAATCTAGGACAACATAGCGGATTTGGAAAAATTCTCCAATTCAGCTCACTTTCCAGTTCAGCTATGTTGTCCTAGACTGTTCAATTCTCCTTCCTTCTCCAAGCTCTTCACCCTTTTGTGAATAACCCTGATAGTATTTTTATAATGACTACAAGGTATTTTCTGATGGGATGAAGGAAGATGATGTCATGATCTGCCCTTCATCCAATCAGAGAACGCTTTGTATTAAAAAAAAATACTAGCAGGGTTATTGGCTTGAATGGCCGCTGGGAAAATATTGGATCTACTGGAAGGATTAACAGGTCATAGAACTAATGTTATGGGGAGTGTGAGAAAGACTAAAGCTGCTGTATTCACGCTACAGGAAGATTTTATCACGTCATTTTTCCCATAGTTCCTGGGGGGTCAATTACTGGCCCATCCCCATCCCGTCCTCGATTTTGCTCCATTGCTGTGGCAGTCAACCTCCCAAAGGTGTAGAAGGGAGATGTGACCACGGGAGCTGGCTGACATTTGTCTAATAGTGCACATTCTGCACATGGCCGCACGTTCAGACACCTCTAGCCGACTGCTTTCCTTGTCTGCCGCCAGTTAGAAGTGATGCGGGGGGAAGGACGGCTGGACTTCAAACTGCATTAAAACACATCATACGGCGTCCAGCCGTCCTCCCTCTAGGTAGATGCTGGAATATGGACAGCTCTCCCCGACGTCCAGCCGTCCTTCCCCAATCTCTCCTAACTGAAACTTTGTGCCTCCGTACGAGCTCTGCCAGTTTGAAAATGTGCAGAAGCCTGAGATTTGCAGCTGTGATCGAGTGATCAGGATTGCAATGCTTTCCAGTAGGGTTGCACAGATACCAAGTACAGTACTCAGTACAAGTACGAGTACATGTACCGCTACTTTTGAGCTCCAAGACTAGACTAGAGAAAAATAAAAAAATTAGGAGGCTGCTGTCATTTGTAAGGAGCACACGATTTTGTTTTTTTATAACTATATATAAAGGAATGCACAGATACCAGTTTTGCAAGTACGAGGACTGGTACTTGCCGAGTACTTACAAGTACGAGTACTGATACATTTTTGTTTATTGTCATGTGACAGTTTTTCTAAAACAATAAAGACTAATGATTTCAGGACAGTGGTGGAGTGCCAGAGCCCGGTCCCAGCTGCAACCGCTGCAGCCCTGGTAGTTCTCATGAAAATGCCAAGTATCTGCACTGGTACTCAAAAAGTATCTGTGCATCCCTACTTTCCAGGCTTGAATGCAAATATTTAATGCATTTTTTAATATATTATTTATTATGTATTTCTTAAATTTTTGCTAAAGGTCAACTTATCCTTTAAAATAAAGTTTGGCAAAAAAAGAGAAAAAAAAAAACGGAACACAAGCCAAAGGAGGTTGAAACTGCAAGTCAACTGACCCTCCGTTGACCTGCAATTCCCTTCCGATTTTGGTGTGAACGGGCCTTTACAATGGGTTTAAACTAGGGATATCCTGATACCAGGCATTTTCACAAGTACTTGTACTCATGAAAATGCCCTTATTCTTAAGGCCAATACCGGCCCTTTACATTTTTTAAACATCAGTGGCCATCAGAGTTCCCGCGCTTGTGGGGACCTCTGCAGCCTGCTGGGGACCTGCAGATAGCTGTCCATGTCAGTGCCTGTCCGGTTCTTTATCTCCTCCAACTTCACAGCGCAGGCACAGCCATGGACAGCCCCAAGTGAGGAACTACGGGCAGTGGAGCCGGAGCGACCGCCCCAGGGCTAGAAACTGGGGGTTTCTGCTGCCGATTGACAGGGGAGGACTGGGCCAGGAGATGGATGGAGGTCGGGGGGCCCACCAGCGATGATGCTCGGCCGACGGAGAAGAGGCTGGATCCCAGCATCGCTTGTCCTTAAGTGGTGGAGGACAGGTCCCAGCATCGCCGGCCCGGATGTGGATGTTGCCTGGGTGAGATAGACAAGCAGCCTGGTGAGAGGAATTCTGCTGTGGGGACATGTATCCTGCTTTGGGGACATGGGGACATGTATTCTCAGAATACATGTCCCCAAGGCAGAATAGTATACATGAGTGTATAGCATCTGTATTCAGCCCTGGCGAGAAACTGCCCTAAAGTCAGCAGTCTGTGTTGTTTTAGAAAAAATGTCACATGTCCCTTTAAGAAAAGGTATCGGTAATTGGTGTCGGCGAATACCTGAGGGCAAGCACTTGTACTTGGTCTTAAAAAAAGTGGTATCGGGACATCCCTAGTTTAAACAGTTTGATTGTTATAGTGTATCTGAACTTGATTGTTTTATTCTGCAAGGCTTTTCTCATATCATGTTTTATTGGTGGATGGGAACAGAGCACTACAGATATGAAAAGATACCAGGTTTTTGTTTTGCATATAAATATCTTATGTACCAAATAGTGTGGCATTTTGTTTTTTCTTGTAACAAATTATGTATCCATTTTTTTTTTACAGAAAAAACTGATCTTACGGCAGACGGATTGAGGAGAGATACAAAGGTGAGATCTACAGACAGAGGTTCTTTTGTTTTTTTGCTGTGACCACTTCATTGACTGCTACATTGATCATGCTACACTGACGGGCAACCTGGATATTACAGCAGGATCTCTGCTTTCTTCTTACACCGAGGACCCTCCTACCCCAATTAAATTGATCCTGTCAGAGGTGTGACCTCATGATCTAGTGTGCACAGTCATAACGTAATTTTTTTTAAATAAAATTTGCAATTAGTTTGATAAATGTTTATGTATTTTTGCATGTAACGTGAAGGTAGTAACTGTATTTTTGTATGTTACTGTTACACGTCACATGCTTTTTGTGCAGCGGCATTAATTCTTGTTCTCTCACTTAACAGGAGTCTGGAAGTGTAGCGCGTATTAAACAGCCAAAGGCAAATTGAAGCAATGAGCATTATTTCAGGAAAGTTCATCGTGAGGACAGACATCACGTTGATAAAAATGTGAGAAGAATTCAAGACGTTTTGACGCTTTTTTGCAAATCCTGGTCAGTTCTCCCGTCCGGCTGTGTCCAGGAATCGTCTGTCTCTAGGCATCTTGTCAATGGCAGCCCAAAGGAGGCGCTTGGTAAAAGAATTCAATCCTTACGTCACTTGCTATATCTGCAAAGGCTATCTTGTCAAGCCCACCACCGTCACAGAGTGCCTGCACACATGTGAGTATTGCTTTCATAATGTAGCATAAGAATGAAGGAGAGCAAGGGTCACCAGGGCTGCTAGATGAAAAAAAGTTTAATGTCCATAGTTTTCCACATTTGTGGCATTTTTTCTAGTGCAGGTTAAGAGTAAATATCTGATTGGATGATATGGGGTGCACATACACATTTTAAGGGAAAGGGACATTTCCTCTTAGCTTAGTGAATGAGGTGAAGCTCTGCTGACTTCCACTATCCAATAATGTACAAGCAAAAATACTGTATTATTTGTTTTCCCTTGCACATGATTGGGTATTCTTTGCAAAGTGTAGTTTCACCACATTTATTAAGCTACTAATTCCCCTTCACAGTTCCCTTGCAAAGTATGCAGCCTATGTGCCTTTAGTAAAATAACCCCTTTGCATCACAGGCAGGCTTTAGGAGATAGTGTGGTTGAGTAGTTGATGTGGAGCCCTACGATTTGCCAAACAGTACATTTACAAACCAAATGTAGACATGTATTATAATGATAGTATTAATACTACAGTAAACTCTCAGTTATCCGGTATTCAACTAGCAGAACTGTCATCTACCCAGAAAAATACAAATCCTGTGTACTCATTGTTCTGAGGCATATGTTATCCTGGAAAAGATTGTGTGCCTATTTGTCTTAATTTGTTTTAAGTGTGTCTATTTGCATTTGATTACTGCATTTCAATATTAATATGAAGTCAATACAAAGTTTACGGTATGGTAAGTTATGGGGTATGGCATTAGTTAGACCTATTTTAAATAGCAACTCTCGAGCAACCAGAAACTACATATATCCGGAATCTGCCAATCCCCGTAGATGCCGGATAACAGGGAGTGTTTACTGTATTACTGTATTTGTAATTTGTGTGGTTTTTCTTCCCTTTATTTTTCCCCAGTAAAGATTTGAGATTGTCTGTCTGGTTTGCTTATATAACCGGACTTCCCTTTGGTCATTGTGTTAGCGTACGTTTCATTTGCACTGTTATTGTTTCGGAACATCTGTCTTTTCTCCTTCTAACTGCATTATTTTTGCATCACTGTGTAAAGATAATGTGCACTGAACGCGATGTGTGCTAGCAGCCTGTCACATTGACAGGAACAGAGTAAATCCTCTTCCCTTTTGACTTTCACAAGTTATTTAAGCAAATAATCCTCTTATCTGCTGACATGCAGGTCTGTCCAGTAACCGTTAAATATGTAAACTGTGTTCTCTAAAACGGCAAGTTTAAAAGAGGTTGTTTGTTTTGGGACAGCCGACAATCCCAGTGCCCCATTTTCGGGGATACGTATGCCACTTTTGCTTTTATAATTGGTACCAGTTTGCACAGTGTGCTCAGGCACTTAATGCAGCCAACAGTTTTCTTACTTAACCTTCTTAAACCGCACACCACTTTAAACTCTTTCCTTCCTTACACATACAATACATCACTGATTATACCCCAGAACCATTCTGTTGGCATCAGTGATGCTCTAGAGTTCCACCTGTTAGAAAGGAGAACTATGGGGTCAGTGCTTTTCCCCATAGTTCTCCTAAGGGTAACGGGAGGACACAAACTAGCGTCCTCCCATCACCCAAAGCTCAGAATACCGCGAGCTACAGCTCAGTGTGTAATGAGACGCCGGAGCGGATCCCGACAATGCTGTCTGGATCCACCCAGCTGCGTGAGTGACAGCTGGGTCTGCCTAATAGTAAATAAAAGTAATTCACCGGCACACACTTGAAGGGTTTTTAAAGTATTGATATGTTTATTCAATACCCAATGTCACACACTGTCATACAGTGCTAACGTTTCGGATCCGCACAGGGATCCTTCATCAGAGCAACAGTGACACTGCGCCATCTGTGTGGTCACCTGGGCACCACATATGCCTTGTGGTTTTGAGACCGTGGCAGTGCGAATGGGATTTGGACTTAGCTGGGTCTGCCTATCTAGAGGCAGAGCCATCTGTACCTGCCCCCTCCCCCGTCCGTTCCACCAGTCAGCGCCGGAGGATCGGACACGGGGGGGGGGGGATCCCTGCAGGGAGCCGTGAGTGACAGTCACGGCTCTCTGCAAGGATAGATCAAGAAGTGAGCGAGCGCCGGTATGTGTTCGCTCACTTCCCGACCTATTGAGCCAACCTGTGACAGCTTCATTGTCACAGGTCGGCTCAGATTATGAGGCTGAGTGAAAATCACTTGCCTCATAATTCTCCTTTTTAAATAGAACAGGGGTGGTAATTTAATGGAGGACAGTGAGGGGGCAGTTTTGGTTAGCAGTTACCAAGTATTGGTGTTTGAGCTGCTCAGACTTGTTAAACAATTTTTTCCTGATCATACTTGACACACGTACATGACTTCTAAAATGGGAACATAACCACCTCACTATAGTGTATCCATAAGATAGTATTTACCTATGTTCTACATTTTTCAAAGGACTGTATGGTGTCTAGGTGAGCCTAATCTTCTCACTGTGTCCCTTTTTGCACATTGTTTTTCCTAAATTGCAGAGAGCAAAGGATCTGGAAGAGCAGGGGACCATTACCACCTATGTATATTATGAGTGGTCCTCAACCGGGGTCTCTTAGTAGTTAATCGGTACCCAGCATGAGCAGATGCTACATTAAAACATCCCCTAGACATGATACCGAGTACAGCTTTCCTGTATATACCCGACATTATGTACTTTCTATTTTTAAAGCCCAGTTACACTTTCAGTTTCAATCAGCTAAAGATGTTCAATGTCCTACTGTTCACTTTCTTTGTGAAGCAGCCACAGCTGTTGTCTGCCAGCAGCTGCAGAGTCTGTGAGGAAGTGGTGGTCTCAGTGCAGAGGTCCGACACACCACCTACTGAACAACAGCTAGGGGTCTCCCATCATCAGTGCTAATGTCCCCCGCTGATTGGCAATGCATTGTACTTAGGCTGTGGCTGATTGTAAGAGATTGCACACCTTTTGTGTTGATACACCCGGAATATTGGTAGCTAATATTTTTTTAATGCTTCAGTTGGGCTTCAATTTATCTAGGAACATATATTTTAAGTGATTTTTTTTTAATGTTATGTATTAATAAAAGTGGTTCATGAGCTGCCAAAGGACCCTTATACTATATGTGTTCCTGCGTTATCATTTGTAATAACATTCTCTAAATACAATATTTCAACTATATAGAAGTATATGCAACAAATTCCTATATCTTCATTGTTCTTTTTTCTTTCTTTTTTTTTTTTTATCAAGTTTGTAAGAGTTGTATTGTCCAACATTTTGAAGAGAGCAACGATTGCCCAAAATGTGGAAACCAGGTCCATGAAACCAATCCTTTGGAAATGCTGAGGTAAGTAACGCCAGCACTTTACTATACACAATTTACATGTTATAGACTTTGTTGCAGTTATATTGTGTTCAGTTAGGATGCGAATACAAACGCCAAATTATCTCTTCATTCAAACATTATGTTCATTCACTTGCTTAAAATTAAAATGAGTACCCTGTGCATGATGTATATTTGTTCAACCTTGTGTAAAGATACAATGTTCATTTTCAGCATTACCTTCTGTTGTTTTATTTGATAAGAATACTTCTATTGTGCCTACAAGTTTAATACCTTTGAATAAAAGTTTTATTTTTATCACACTTTTTAATATGTTTCTTTGCGGCTTAACAAAATAGGAGTCTTTAAATGGTGCATATATTGGGGGAAATGGGTGTGGTTACGGGGGCGTGGCCACTAAAGGGTGTGGCCACTGAGGGGTGCTGTAAAGCTTTCTCGCACAGGGCGCCTAAAGGCCTAAGGCCGGCCCTGTGCTGCATGATGAAATATGGTTTGCACATACGTGTACAGCTTTACCAGTGACACTCAGTTTGCATTTCTATTTGTAGACATGCTACAGGTTTAATGTGCCATAAAGTAAACCATCAATACACTGCTGTGCTCTGCTTTGTATTATATTACTTCCATTTACCAAAAGACTTCACTGGACAACCAAATTCTTAAAATGTCTATTTTTGCCTAATACCTGTAAGAAAACAGAGCCCCATACAGTATATGTCTTATAGGACAGACAATATAGTTCTTGATGGATTTAAAAAAATGATATATTTAACATTTACTTCTCATTTGCTGAAAATAGTACATTGGTTATTTAACTACTCAAAAAAAAAGGTTTTATTGCATCAGTTTTTGACTTCCCAGAAATATGGTAAATTAACTCTTATTCTTCAATGAATTAGTGAATACTGTCTGTGTGTCCAAATCCATGAAGGGAACTTTGTAACAGGAAGCATATTGTAACTAAAATCCTTAACTTCTGCTCAGAATTATACGTGCCTACAGAGTTCTAGTATGCAGCTTCTTTGTTGGCTTCTCCACACCTCTTATATGTATGTGGGCTTTGTTGTCTTTGTTGACGGACAGGATCTTAGCCACTGCATGATGGGACAGCTCACCCTCCACAGGTTGCTAATATCAAGATTTTTGTTGTCCTTTTCTCCAAAAGGTGCTTTATGGGGATTCTGCCTTCCTAGTATTCTCTAGCTGTAGCAGCAATGAGAATCTAATTTGCACTACTGTGGCTTTAATAAAGTGAATTCGATTGCTTTATAAGGAATATTGCACCCTAGGTTTTGCTTCGTGCACTATTCACTGATTATAGTGGAACTTGTGGCAGTGGCAGTGCTTTGCATACATAGAAAAAAAATAATAATAAACATCAGTTTAAAAAGATTAAATCCCAACTGAACTTCCAGTTTTAATCAGTTGAATACATTCCTGGTGCCAAAACAAAAAGGTGTCTTGCAGTTTATTTATAGAAGGCAACCACAGCCTGAGTAGAAAAGCCTGTCCCCTGCCAGCATGCTGCAGAGAAGGACACTTGTGCTCAATATGGAAGCAGTGTTCTCTTTGCAGAGGTCAGAAACACCCCTACGTCTGCTGTTGCGTATGTAACATGGGCAGTCTTGGCGATGGCCGCAAATCGCCAGTGTTGGGATCACTAAGAGACCTCTTGCCATTCTTGAGATGCTCCCTTTATGCCCATCACTAGGAAGCGAGAATCAGTGGAGATCAGAGCCAGTGAGGGAGCAATTCCACAGAGATAAGTAGAAGAGTATCACATGTGGCTGGCAATGTGTTGCTAGCGGTAGAATCGCTCATCAGTCTAAGTCTTGGAACACCTTTTTGTTTTGATGCAAGTGAAATATATTTTTAGTCGATTTTTTTTTTTAAAAGAAATTAAAAAAAATATTAACTCAAAACCGTTCTAGTTTTCTGTTCCTCCCTCCTAATTTTTTTCTATTTCAGTTTTCCACATTTTGCATAGTGTAAGTTTTAGTACTGCTATTATTATTGTTTTTATCCAGGAAATACCTCAGTTCTATTATTTGTTTTCTTTGTCGTACCCAGGTTAGATAACACACTTGAAGAAATCATTTTTAAATTAGTGCCAGGACTTCGGGAAAGTAAGTATCAAATTTCTTTATACATTGGGAGTTGCATTCTAGTGGCATTGTTGTCTAAAGTTAACTTTTTTTTTTTTTTAACTGTTAAATAGGAGAACAACTAGAAGAAACTGAATTCTGGAAGAGGAAACGTCCGGAAGAAAATGGAGAAGGTACTTTTTGGCTCTGTACGTGTTTTATTGGTTCACAACAAAAACAGTTTTAGATAATCACTAACACAATTAAAGGGTAGAAGTTCCACTTTCCCAGGTTAATTTGGGAAAACAAAATTACCCCTTCCAATCTGGCTCCCTCTCTGTTCCCCCCCCCAAATGCACCTTCCTCTCCACCAGTGCCGGTGTGCTATCCGTAACCCGTACTGCTGTGTTGCGCAGCCCTGCGCTATGTATGTTTAATTTTTCTCGCAAATGTCGAGCACTCAAGGAGAAGCACTTCTAACCGCGCTGACCAATGTGAAGCGCTTCAAGCGCTTCTCATTGGTCAGTGAGGTCAGGTGACCACACTGACCAATAAGTGCTCGTCATTTTGCAAGCAAAATTCAAAATACATGGCAATACAGCGCTAAATGTCAGTACAGGGTATTGATAGTATACCCGCACCGGTGGAGGGGAAGGTGCATTTGCTGAATGGTTAGTATAGGAGGCTGGGGGAGAGGGGGCCAAATTGGAGGGGGTAATTCAATTTTCCCAAATTCACTTGGGAAAGTGGACTTGCCTTTTAAATTATGTTCCAGCATGTACAGGTCAGTACTATTTAGGGACAGATTTTTCAAGTGTTAGAATTTTATGAAGCATGTTTTTGCAGAATTTCCAGCTCAGTTGCTCTTCTGCAGTTTATTTTAGCGTGTAAAATAGTAATTTCAATATCGATAATGCTAATGTTGCTAAGCTTGAACTCCAGATGTTTCCAACTTTACTGCACCTTTGTAAAATCCACTTCACCTCTTTTCTTAGGAAGAGAAGTGGCACTTTAAATCCTTAAACTCTGCACAAGCGAAGGGCAGTTTTTCAGTATTCTTTTTACGAAAAGTGTTAAAATAGTTTTTCTCTTAAGTTAAACTCACAAGAAGTCAAATGAACCCTTTAGGAAATAAAACCGAAGCGCCACAACCTAGTGCAATAACTTAGGTGTGATTGGACAAGGAGTATGGACAGTATTATACTCACTTGTGGGAGGGTGGATATGGGCTCCAAATTATGGAAACATCGTGGAATTCGTGGTATAGTTGCGTGGACGTGCTGTGTTGGTTCTCTATGGTGGTGGCGTTGGTAACCGAAGTGGAAACAATAATTATAGCAATAGTGAGGATTCTGAAATGTTGGTATAACAAATGTGACTTTGAACTCACCATGAGGTTAGTTGTGATGCGAAATCAGCGGCGTAGATTCTGTGATGAGCTGGTTGTTGTCCTGGAGGCGATGTGAGGGGTAAGTGCGGATCAGTTAAGTTAGTTGCGATGCAGAATCAGCTGCGTAGGTTCTGTGATGAGCTGGTCGGTGTACTAAAGGCGATGTGGTGGGTAAGTGTAGATCCTGGAGGTGGATGATTCTAGAGGTTCATAAGTTCAGCATCCTAGATTGATGTTATATTGAGGCTATGTTGGACGCTCCTTGGTGTTGAGGTACTGAGTTGGATGTGGCCGGTATTTTTGTGTTAATCGCTGGGGGTAGTATTTATTGCCGTGGGGACGGTGCAGAGTGCTTAGTGCGAGAATATGAGTCTGGGCTTGGCCAGTTATATAAAACTGTCACTTGAAGTTTGATGAGTATAGGAGATGATGGATAAAGAGGAAAGTGGTTCTAAGGCTTTGGGGCAGATCTTTGTGACAGAGTCCATGCGTGTTAGCAGCTGGAACAGAGGGAGGTTGGGGGAGGGGAGAGAGGAGGAGGAATGGGGGTAGTGGCAGAGGAACCACTGCTGTGTGTCAGCGGTGGGTGAGGAAAGTAAGAGGGTGGGCAATGTGGCAGCGTGGAGATCGTGTAATGATTCGCTGCCCGGCTTCTTGATTAGCCGGAAAGCCGGGTGGCATGTCATGGCACGCTGCCCAGCTTCCTGATTAGCTGGAAAGCCGGGTGGCATGTCATGACACGCTGCCCAGCTTCCTGATTAGCCGGAAAGCCAGGTGGCGTGGAATGACACTCTGCCCGGCTTCCTGATTGGCCGGGTGACGAGGAAGCGTGGAGCTTGCTTGCTGGCCAATCAGGAAGCCAGGAGGCAGGTAATGACTCGCCACCCAGCTTCGTGATTGGTTGGGAAGGTGGCCAATCAGGAAGCTGGGCGGCGAGTCATTACACGCTGCCCGGCTTCCTGTTTAGCCAGGATGCCGGCTTCATGCTCCCTCGTCACCAAGGTGATGAGGGAGCATGGAGCTGGCTTTCTGGCCATTCAGAAAGCCCGGAGGCAAGTCATTATCCGCCCCTGGCTTCCTGGTTGGCCAGGAAGCCAGCTCCATGCTCGCTTGGAAAGTTCCAGTATCGGGATCAGCATCGGGAGCATTTGGGTGAGTACAAGTACTTGCCCAATACTAGTATCAGTATCGGTGCATCCCTAGTTTTTAGTGATATTGTTTTGCAAAAATTATATAATATATTTTTTTTTTTAATGCAATCCATAGACAAAAGTTGTAACAAAACTAAATAACTTTTTTCTCTATCGTCTATTGAGGGACACAACTGAGAGATTCATGCCAGATAAGTTAAATCCTGAAAGTTTTTCTTGTTGTCAGAAGCGGGTTGTTTTAGGTTCTTTCTAGTCTCAGTACTAATGATTCGTCCTGCAGTGGTCCAAAGTTCCATTTAAAGATGCGCAAGCCTTCCCAGTCACCATGCTGTGGATCCTTCCTGCAATGGTCCTGTGCTTCTATCTGGTGAGGTATTTTAGCTACCATTTGTGAGGTCAGGCCAGTGTTGTCTGGGGATTCCTTTTTATGTTACAACCAAGACTGTGGAGGTTGTGAGTACTCTTCACAATGCTTTTCTCCATGCAGGGGGCTGGGGCATTCTTTCCTTTTAATAATTCTGTGGACTATCGTTTGACTTTTTTGCTCTGTTTTTTACTTACCATTTAAAAAAAAAAAAACACCTTTTTACTGCACATGCGTAAAAATGCACACTCCCTCCGCACAGCCACATTTTGCAGGCCAGTCGTGTGTTCCTAGAACTCTAGTGAGGATGCACGCTCCACCTCAGCTCTCCTCATTTCACACAGCTGTGAGACACGTGTGGCATTAAGGAGAAGCTGACACAGGCTCTGAGGGAAGTAGAAGCTGCTCTATGACTCCTATAAGCTCTGCTATAATTTCCTGGTGTCTGCTGTGAGAAGTAGCACAGTTGGTTTTTTTGTTTTTGTTTTGTTTTTTTTCTGATACTTCACACTGGTCAGGGTCATGAGTATTGCTGAAAAAAAGTGCTATTCAAAGGTACAGTGACTGTTATATTTATCTACTCCCAAGCAGAAGGACACCTGCGCTGGAACACTTGACAATGTATCCACTCTGGTCTCTGTGTGTTCTACCTGTAAGGTAGAAATGACCAAAGGGTCTGTTCCCCTTGAGGTTGACTTTCCTGTTTTTCACCTTTTGAAAAGGCTTTGACTTTTCTTATTGATTACACCCCTTCATTTAGAGACCCTACTGATGAGAAATAGCAAATGCTTTCTCGCTCCATTTACTGGCGGGTAAAGCTTTTCTATCCCTGTTAGCCACGGTTCATATTTTTCAGACTTTAGCTACCCAGTCTAAAACTGTGAGTGCTGACCCACGTTTTAATTGTGTCAATCAGATAACAGTTGTGTCTCATTTTGTGTGCAATGCAGTTCTTGATGGCTGTCTAAAGTATTGCTTTCCTCTATTCAGAGTCAAAGAACCATTTGGCTAAAGTGTTAGTCTGCAGAGCCTCAATATAAGAAGGGACTTTTCTTCTTGTCCTATGTGGAAGACCATATTTTTGACATATCACTGGATAAAATTATTAAGTAAACTACTATGGAATTTTAGTTCCCAGTGCAGCAAGTCTTCTTCCTCTGCTAGACTGTCAGGTTCTTCTGGGCTCCCATGGCAGTCCAAGAACTCTAAACACAAAGACAAGTCTGCTTTAGCATGAAGGTCAGCCTACGCCTGTTCTTCAGGTGGGGGAATGTCTGATGGCCTTTGCGGAGATCTGGGAAGTACCATAAAGGTTCAGGAATCTGCCTTTATCTGTTCCTTTTTTCAGTGACCTCTGGATACTAATTTTTTAGTTTGCAACTTTATTCAAGGGGTTGTTTATGTGGCACCTCCTGTTTGATCCCCATTACATCCTTGGGACCTGAACTCGATCTTATCAGTTTTACAAAGACCACCGCTTGAGCTTATTTGTGATATTTCTTTACCATTTATGTCAGAAAGGTTGCTTTCCTTGTAGCCATGACTTCTACTAGATGAGTTTTGGAACTGTTTGCCTTGTCTTGTAGAGAACCACATTGATTCTACACAAGGATAAAGTTGTTTTAAGACTATGTACTTCCCTTTTGCAAAAGTGGTCTCTGTCCTTCATCCTAATGAAGACATTATATTGCCTTCCCTTTGTCCTACTCCAGTACATCCTACGAGAAGTTCTCTACATTGTTTGGATGTTGTACAGGCTATTAGAGTTTATCTTTCTGCCACATCTTCCTTTTAGATGTAGGGATTCTTTGTTTGTCCTCCCTGAAGGTCCTGGGAAAGGTTGTTCAGCTTCTACTACTACCATTTCTAAGTGGATTCGTCAGGTTGTTCAAGTCTATGAGTTGCGGGATAAAGTAACTCCTTTTCCTATTTCTGTTCCTTCTAAGGCAATTAGTACTTCTTGGGCTTCTCATAATTGGGCTTCAGTTGTTTGAATTTGTAAGGCCACAAAGTGGTCTTCTATTCACATTTTTGTAAGGTCTTATAAAGTTGATGTTTTCACAGAAAAGTTCTTCAAGCAGCTATTTAACACCCTTATTTATTCTTTTTTTTGTTGGGCTGGTTCTTCCGATTGCTTTGTGTGCTGATCCGTCTGTTTTGGACTGCTTTTGAACACCCAGCATCTCAGAATTCTTCAGAACTGTGACCCTTAGGGCTTGTTCTCAGAATGTCCAGACCAGATCCTGCCAGAACAGTTTTTGTTCACACCTGAAATGCATCCCAATGGATTCCTATGTTATTCCTGGGCTCTGTTCACACCAGTGCAGTTCATTCCGGTGAGGGGAAATACAAATGCTGCATGCACTATATTTTCTGGTCTGGAACGCACACCAAAATGTATGCAATTACATTTGTTAAATTTCTTTACAGGTTGCTTTAACTGACATCATACGCAGATCAAAGCTCATCCATTTGACCTGCAGATTCATGAAACGGAGTAGATACAAAAGTAACAACGTTACTTTGTTTCGCTCTCTCGCATCCGAACATTGTGTCAGTTTGTTTTTGGTCAGTCGCAGCTATTACATCTACTGTACTGACACAGCAACTCATGACTTGATCAGTCAGAAATTTCCAGCAAGCTTCTATGGAAGTCCTACCGATTTCTCCCTTGTGCTCACAGCCACAAACATACAATAGAGATCTTATATTTTCCAAAAGAGGATTTTAGTTCTCAAAACCTCTTTGTATTTACCCTCTGAACCTCCCACCAGGTAAGTATTTTTTTTTTCTTGCCACCTATAAAATAAAACTTCTGTCCTTAGACAACTGTTCATAATTTCTCAGGATAAACTATACAATAGAGCCTTTTTAATAGGGAAGGTACTTGCTTGTCTCCCTTCCATCACATATCCAACAAATAGGGGTTTATTACTTATGGTAGGATAGTGGATGTGGCCATGTAATCTTTCCTTTATCCCCTGTGGCCGAATGTACACACCCCCCTCCTAATAATATAGAACTATTTCTCCCAAACTATAGAACTGGTTCAGGCTTGCTGGCCATCATTTGTGTAATGTATGGGAAATATGGCTTCTCAAGGTGGCCATACACTTTACAACCATCGCAAGACCTTAGTCTTGCGATGGTTGTAAAGTAATTTAAAAAAGTACGATCTGCCCATCTTGGACAGGCAGATCGTACTTGTGATCATCGCAGGGCGGGCTTCCGATGACCATAATGCTGAACAGGCAGTGTGCGCGTGCGCATACTGGCCCGCTCGGCATTTGTCTCCCAAGCATGCCACAAACCAGCCGAAAATCGTAAGATTTTCGGCTGGTTTTCGAACATGCTCCTTAGACAAAAGACAGTAAAAGTACAGTAAAAACGGTTGCACGCCTCCCATACACTTCGCGATTATCGTACTATTGTGGGATTTCCCGCAATAATCGCACAGTGAATGGGCACCTTAAGAAATAGGGTTTATAGACTGACCCAATACGATTCCTAGACACCTTTTGTGTGAACTCTCTCCCTGCACTTCTCCTTTTCTTTCCTTATAATATGTAACCATTCCAGTGCATAGTATGTTTTATAAGTCATGAGTATTTGAATGTTAGTGCTGCTGTATGTGAACCACTGTTTTTGTATTCGCTTGGCTTGTGGTATTTGTTGCCTTTGTTCAGTATTTACATTCGTAGGTGAAATGCTGACATTGCAGGGAAGAAGTATTCTTTAATGTAACCAATGTTATGAGATTATGGCGTTTATTTAGCAGATCAGGAAGTATTAACTTCCTGAAATGAACTATGAGCATTGTGTGTTCTTCACACTGCTCGCTATAATAATGTGTGAACTTCAGAAAGCAAGAGTTTCCTGCTAAATAGCATTGCTATTTTTCTCTATTGTACAACTCTGCAGGAGAATGAAGTTTTGGTTAATGTCATAGTTAATGCACCGCCTCAGATTACAGCTCCAGGTATCTGTCTCTAAACAATAAGCAAGAATGTTACTGCAGGGATGAATTGGAAATAGCGTGTGTGATTAAAAGAAGAGGATATGCCCTCAGTGCACACACTGGGCAGATTTATGAAAACTAAAATAGGACGTGTGGCAATTGCCCCTACCAGCATGCAACTGGAAAAATAAATATAAAGGACTCCCTTATGATTCTGTTGATCCTGAAATTATTAATAATAAAATACTCAATTCACAAGCATTCGGGTTTATTACTTAAAGGAGAACCTACCGTATGAGGCGAGTGAAAATCACTCACCCTCATAGTTCTAGCCGACCTGTGGCAATGAAACTGTCACAGGTCGGCTCAATAGATCGGGAAGTGAGCCAACGCATAACGTCGTTCGCTCACTTCTCGATCCTGTCCCTGCAGAGAGCCGTGACTGTCACTCACGGCTGCGGCGTCTCAGTATACCGCGAGCTTCAGCTCGCGGTATACTGAGCTTTGGGTGACGGGAGGACGCTAGTTTGTGTCCTCCCGTTACCCTTACGACAGGGGTGGCCAGACACCTGCTGGGTGTGTACACACTACAAAGGTGTTTAGATTCCACCCATAGATCATGCTGGGAGGGAACACACTACAGAGGTGTATACATGTTCGTGGTGTGTTCATAAGCTTAGTAAATCAACCCCATAGTGTCCAACAAAGCACTATAAGTGCTATCACTATACTGAGCATGGGTTTTTCAAACATGCACTCCTGCCAATGTCCCTCTTTCAGTTTCCTGCCAGAGATGGATCTCGTTGCGACTCTGCACCAAAGCACTTTGCCTCAGTTACGTTACCATACTCCACCTGACGTGTGTTGTCAATCTGGACATTGTCAAGCTTAACATTATTTATTTGTGCTTTGTAACTAGAGGGCATAAACAACGTTTCGGTGTAGGAGCTAGGGGTTCTTTTCCTACCTTTTGAGTGTTACATTATAACAGAACAGATATATGATATACAGTATATTTTGATTAGCAGAAATATAATATCTAAGGAGTTAATTAGTAAAATAACAGTCGGGAGAAGAGCAGGACATAGGAAATGCACCTTAAGAACTTTGTTGGAGTTTTTTGGGGAGTATTACCGGTGCCCAAGGTCCTCAAAGGGTTAAGTAAATTGAGAAGATAAGGTTAGGCATGTTATAGTTTACTTAGAAATACTCTGCTTCAATTCCCATCATATGAGCATACAACATATCACATGACTTTATTCAAAACGAACCTTTTTTTTATTTCATATACTTCTTTTTAACAGATGGATTCCCAGGCAGTAAAAGACTTAAAGACGATGAAGAGGAAAATGATGAAAACAAAGACTACCACAGAAGTGACCCTCAGATCGCCATCTGTCTTGATTGTCTACGGAATAATGGCCAGTCTGGTGATAACATAGTAAAGGTAATTGTAGTTAATTATTAATGTGACATTAAACCCTCTGATATTTTAACATAAACCAATACTGTAATGTGTGCCTTACTGTAATCCATGGTTGTTTCCCTTCTCTTTGCTGCTCTTCCTTTTTAAATCCTCATGTCTTCACATGCTTGGGGAGAACTTCCCTTTTCAGCTCAGGGCCTCATCCTGTAGTGCTGGCTCAGGTTGCAAACCTACACACAGACACCGTGTATCCATTCCTGAGACAAGGCAGTCTGCTGCAAAACAGAAGTTCTGCAGAGCATGAGAACAGATACAGATTTAAAAGGAAGAGCAGCAAAGAGAAGGGAAACTACCATGGATTACAGTAAGGCACACATTACAGTATTGTTTTATGATAAAAAATCTGAGGGTTTAATGTCACTCCAATACCCAGCATTCCAGCAGCTGTCCATCCACTGGATATGTTCATTTCTTCTTGTCCTCCTGGTGGCCTTACCAGGAATAGGATGAAGAAAGGCTGACCTAGAATGACAACAGTATTAGGTGTCTGGAATCTTGGTTGTATACCTGGGGTCATTCTGGAAATGTTTGTCTTTTATGAATTCCCACTGTTATGGAAATTCACTTGGTTCAACGCACAAATCCA